TTAGGAATGCAGCTAAAGTGGTACTTAGAAAAGTATAATGCATCTATCGTTGTCTCTTTATCACTTAGAATATGTACTTTCATAGGACATGTTATATAATTGATTAAATTGAACACAGCTGATCAGAGTGGAGGGGACTTCTACTGTGACTTTGAAGCACAATTTCATTATTGTCCTATTCTTATGGAAGAGACCTCCACAAGCATCAGGCCAGACTATCTGGGAAACACCCGCCCAGCTCACCTAAAGGTTCAGTCCCACTACCTCCCTGAATTTGTATCCCCTATGCATGCAACCAGGGCCCTAAGTCAAACTGCCTCCATCACAGCACACCTCACAGCCAGTCCTAGTGCTGGTTATAGTGCATATTTGGGGATCCTCGAGACCACACATACTCTGGTGATTCACTAGAAGTATTCAACAAACAGTAGTCCTCATGGCTCAGGATTAGTATGGTGCAAGGATAAATGTCAAAATCAGCAAGAAAAAAAGACACAGGAAGAGTCTGGATAAATCTATATACAGGTCTCCAATATTCTCGCTCCCTCCCCTCAAGAGAAGCACTGAGCATAATCCCTTTTCTCAGCAGTGAAAAATTCAATAATGTACATGCAATCTTTCTGCTTTAGAAAAGGCTCTGCACTGAAGGCTTTATTGGTGGCTGGGTAGAGTAGGCACCCTCTGCCTATCAATAAGCAGAATTTTTTGTATTTTTTTTAATAAGAAGAATTTTTAACTCAGAGAAGGAAAATAGAAATACATGATGAATCATTGTTTGCGGTGAGCTGTCCTTATCAGTCAGGGAATGGGTCAAACACCAAGTTCCCACACACCAACCAATGTCCTTCTAAGAGCCAGCCCTGTGAGCAGCCCTAGAAAATAAGCAGCCTATAGGTTTGCTATAATCTCTCCCACCTTGAAACCTCTTCCTTTCATGATCATGAGGCCTTATAGGTTAGAAAAATTGGACTTTACCTTCCCATTAAGAACTGGCACTGTGCTGTTGCTCCTGAGATCTATGAAGCATGCATTTTACCAGCATTTAAGTGAACCCAACAGCCGTGGCAGGCTTAAACCAGCAGAGACCAAGGAGCTGTATTAAAATAAGAACCTATGACATATACTTTTTGGTACCAGGAATCGAGCTTAGAGCCTTACACTTGCCAGGCAGCGCTGTGCCACTGAACTACATCCTCAGCCATTAAGTGAAACTCACCCCCCAGTACCAGAAATTGAACTCCGGACCTTGTGTTTGTGGGAGGTGCCACATCACTGAGCTAAGTCTCTGGACCCCTTAAATGAATATTTATAAGTAACATTTTACAACTACTTTTCTTGGAAGGCTTCATTGGAAAAAGAGATCCCAGTCAGATAAAGCCCTATGATAGGCCTGTGCGGTTAGCTTATGCAGAGAAAGTTTGGGGGATGCTAGGGAAATTGTGGGGTTTCATTCAGTTGAACACATACTGAATGCTTAATAGACACCAGATATGTCAGGTGCAGATGATAGAATGATGGTCAAAAGGGTAAAAACCTTCCACTCTCATGAATTTACAACCTAGTGTGAGTAGAGGGAAAATCTGCAAAATAAGTAAATAGAATGAGAAAAAGTCTTCTGTGACAGTTTTGAGCAGGTTTTGCTTCCTGGGCCCACCTTAGTTGGCTTCAGGGACCAGGAAAATCCAAACCACATGATCCTTTCTTTATTTGGAATTAATGGTTTCCAGTTCCTCCTGAACTGCCAGAGAAACTGTGACTAAGAAAGACCTGTGGCACTGTAAAAAAGCTTTCCTGTCCATTCTAGTAGGACTTCCCTAAACAGAGAAAAGCCATAGAGAATGCAAGAGAGCAGCAGAGTCACCACCAGGCATACTTCTTTCCCTTCTAGAAGAGTTGCACAAGCATGTTCATGTGTGTGTGCATACATGTGCATATGTTCAAGTGCATCTTGTCTCTTTCCACCACCATGAAATTTACCTGTGACATTGTGGTTGTTGTTTTTATTCACTTGAGTATTGCTTCATTTATTCTCTTTTCTCCAGCCCTATATTTAAAAAAAAGAAAACAGCATAAGAATAGTTCAGAGAAAGTAATAATTCAAAAGCTATCCATTCTTGCCACCTGTCTCGCAAGTGCAAGGACCCAAGTTTGATCCCTGGTACCAAAAAAAAAAAAAAAAAAAAAAAAAAAAAAGAAGAAGAAGAAGAAGAAGAAGAAGCTATCCAAAGAAAATGAGGGTTTTACGGGCAACTACTCTGACTCCTACTAAACCTTGAGTGCCCAGCAGTTTACAGCTGAATAGTACATCAAAAGAATATGTGGTGCATAGTAACTGTTCTAAAGTGTCATGGCTTTATTGAGATCATAAAGAACAAAAGTAGAAAGAATATGGAAAAATATGATACATTCATATATATATATATAAGAATAAAATTGTGTCACTTGCAAAAAATAGATGGAACTAGAAATAAGCATTTTGAGTGAAATAAGCCAGACTCAGAAAGACTAATATTACATGCTCCCCCAATAGGCACAATCTAATTTTTTAAATGACAGGAATGTAAAAGGGCAACTCTTATTAGACAAAAAAATGAATAATGAAAAAAGAGGATAGGTAATGGGGAGATGCATATGATAAAAATATGTTGTACACATTGAAACCAAATATTTTACAAAATTAAACCAGACATGGTGATGCATGCCTGTAATGCCAGTGCTTGGGAGACTGAGACAGGAGGATCATCATAAACTCAAGGCAAGCCTGAGCTACATGCCTGAACTACATAATGAGACAGTGTCTCAAAAAACTTTTTTATAAAATCAATAGGCACTGGGCTGGGCGTTTAGCTCAGGTGTTATGCTGCCTGCCTTGCAAACACAAGGTCCTGAGTTTGATCCCCGGTACCAAAAAACAAAAACAAAAACAAAAAAAAACCCAAACAAACAAACAAATAAAATCAATAGGTATTAATAATAGAAGAAAAAAATAACTAAAATTCATTCAGCCTTCTAGTTCAGTAATAAATGCAGAAATCAACATTCAGATAGCACAATCTTACTCCCTGCTTTTTGTTGCAGGTATTACTAAAAAAAAAAGTCAACCATAATAGCTAGATCTTGGAAGCCACCTATATTTCATAAACAAATGAATAGATAAATAAAATGTGATATCAACACACAATGGAGTACTACTCCACCATAAAAGATAAATGAGTTATATGCAGGAAAATTGATCCACCTTGAGACCACACTATTAAGTGAAATAAATCAGACTCATGAGTTTAAATATCACATGGTTTCTATTATATGAAAACCCCAAGTATAAATAAAGAGCAAAATGAAAGATAGATAATAGGAGGTAAGGAGATAGATCTTTCTCAAATGGAAAAGGGATCAAGAGACAGGGAGAGGGAGGGAGGGAAGGAGGGGAAGAAGTTTTTAAAAACTTTGTGTTATGTGCATGAATCAACTCCCCACAAGAAATGTAAACATATACTGAAAACATGTTAATTTTTAAAAGTGAGCTATCAAATTTCAAAAAAAGTAACAAGTCAACCACTCCAGGCACAGTTGGCACCTATGAAGAAGCCCAGCTACGGATTCAGGGAAAACTCTGGGATCACACTGAAGTGACAGAATATGTATTCCATTTGGTTACAGTTAAAATATTTTCACTGGAATAATTTCTTCTAAATAGTATAGCTAAAGAATCATTTTACATATCCAGAGACCCACCATACCATCCCAGCTAGGGCCCTGCCCCAACCCCAGAGGTGCAGGCACACCTGCCCAAGCCACAGGTCCACCTAGAAGAGGCATGGGCACACAAGCTTCATCCAGAGGCCCACCATATGATCAGCCACAGCCAAGGGTCCACCTGGAAGAGAACTACACAGATGCAAGCAACAGCCTGAGGTTCACTCAGACAACAAGAACTGGTGTATACAGCCTCCAGCCAAAGGC